CGCCTCGAACTCCCCTTATTTTGTTTTCTTCTTAGGTTTCTACAATTTTTTTTTTTTTTTTTTTTTTTTGTTTCGCAGATGAAGGAAAAACAGAGGCACATCAAAGCTACGAGGAGAGAAGGCACCAATTTCCTGGCATGGTACCCTCATTGCATATCAATAAACATTTAATTAAAGTAAAAGGGTAGAGCTTTTTGATTGAAAGATATGTAATTTCTTGGATTTAGCTTTTTGACTCAGTGAAATTGTGTTAGCCTTGGTTGCTTATTTCCCTAATTCATAAACATAAAAAAGGTTTTTTTCAGGACGGACTGCATTTTTTATTCCGTTTTATTTTTTGATTTTTTTAAATTCCCTTTGTTAACTTTTTTCTTTTGTTTTTTTTTTATTGTTTTTTTGTTATTTTCGTTTTCGTTACTTTTATTGTGTAGCGTGGGCTGGAAAACATAGATGAATCTTGTTCGAAAATGTTTCCGAGTTTGAACTGGCTAATTCTAATGCCAGTCCGGGCATATAAAGACAAAAATATTCTTAATGTTTTTTGGCGCTGAACATATTCTTCATTTTTGAGTTTTCATAACCAGACTGGCATTAAAATTTACCAGTCCGGACTGAATTCTTTTTTTTTTTCATGTTTTTGACCTTTCTGTCTGTTTTGGTTCCAATGCAGGAGTTGCTTATCCGGGAATTTTCATTTCACCAGCTGAATGCAAACTTACTCTGGCCAGGTACATTTCAATTTGCAGAATGGCTAATTCAACATCGGTCCTGGATGGAAGGACGACGTTGCATTGAATTAGGAAGGTAGTGATTTCATGTTTAGGTGAATGTGTTACTGTAGATAATTCTTGGAGGGGATTTTTATTGGCCTCCAGTATGAAGTGTAAAACCTTCTCTTAGTTGTTTGTATTCTGCTGCACCTATTTTAATGTGCTGGTTATGCTGAATATTTTATTAAATGGCAGTGGGACTGGGGCTTTGGCTATTTTTCTCCGAAGATCATTTAATCTTGACATCACAACATCAGACTATAATGATCAAGAAATTGAAGATAACATAGCTCATAACTGCCTTGCAAATGGGATTACACCTGCCCTTCCGCACATAAAGCGTTAGTCTCCATGTATTCCTTTTGATTTACGCATTGGTTATGAATCTTATGAATTGTTGATGAGAACTCTTAGTAACCATGAATTAAACTATTGCAATCATTTGGTTTGTTACTGGCGTTTTTTAGAGGCAATGTTTCACTTGTTTTGAAATGAATTTGAAAGGTCACAAGGTTATAGTCATTTATTCTGAATAATCTTCTAAAGCTTAACTAGTAAATTAAGCTTCCTGAATGACCTGCTATTTTGCTTTGTTTTGCATGCTATATTTAAGTAATAGCCCTATCTTAGATTCTGGTGTTTGGCTCACAGTTCCAAAGGATAATAGCCGCTTGGCTTGGCCTTTTATTCTGTTTTAATTGTCACTGCTATTATCTTCCATGCATGCTTATGTTGAATTATTCTCTAAATGTCTTTTCAGATTCATGGGGAGACACCTTTCCAGCTGCTGATCCAGACTGGGACCTAGTTATAGCAAGTGATATCCTTCTCTGTAAGCCTCCAATTCCAAGCTTCAGCAATCTGTATTATAATTCTTAAATCAATGGCAGATGTTGGCTTTAATCAGTTGACCATTTGATTTTTCTGTTCTGGTTGTTGAAGAATTGTCTTCCACATTTGATAGAAACAAGAAATATTACACTTGTAAGCTAGAATTCATCAGGACCCCTGTCTATGGATGTTGGATAAAATAAAGAATCCCCCTAAAGGTTATCAAGCAGTAAACTTAGTGCACTCAAAGCTTGATAATGTGCTTTAGGGGCTACATACCATTTTAGAAACCATTTTGCATAATGCTAGAAAGGCCAATTTTGTTTGTGGTGCTCCCTCTAAAATGAGGTGGCCGTTAACCGTAAAGAATCATATCAGTATGACAATAGCTTGAGATTATTCGAAATTACGGATTTGTTTATTTCCTATATTGCCTAAATTTTAGCAGTCTGGCTTTTATCCTTGCTGAAATAATTTTCTCATCTAAGTTGAACTGCAAAGTTTAAATTTAAGATTTACTTTCTGTGCTGTTGTTTTTCATCATCTAGGGATGATAAAATGTATTATCCTGAACATTTTGCATGCTGGCAGATGTGAAACAGTACCCTAACCTGATAAAGTCTCTCTGCTTTCTCCTCAATTCTTACAAGCCAAAAGATAACAAGGCAGTTCCTTTGGGCAATGAACAAGGTAATGTAGATATTCTGAACTGATGGTTCTTAGGAATTACATAAAAGTAGAAATGGCCTATCCAAAATTAGAAAGGTTGTAGAAACTGATATCAACCGTCGTGAATGTTTATAGGGTTCCCATGGCCAGCGTTTCTAATGAGCTGGAGACGCAGAATTGGAAAGGAGGATGAGTCTCTCTTCTTCTCTGGCTGTGAGAATGCTGGGCTTGAGGTCAAGCATCTGGGATCACGTGTGTATTGCATCAGCCCCAAAGCTAAGTAGTCCAGGACCAAATGCAGTTGTTGGGTGAAAGTTGAAAACAATTCCCATACGAAAATCAGCTACTTTTGATTTACACTAGCAGCACAGTACTCATTAGTCATGGTAACCAGCTAGAACCTTCTCCAGCAGATGTTCATCATCTAATACTCGAATCTTCTGACGATATATTTTTCAATACAATCCTTTATACAAGTCATGTTATTTTATCAACAGGAATTTGAATTCCTTTTTGACAACTGATTTTATGGAAAATGCTTCTCTTATAGCAATAACTATGCAGTTGCAGTTTCTATAAATGAAACTGATTAGCTGACAACAAATCCTCACAACTGTTATATTGATATGGAAATGAAAATGACATCAATGACGAAAGTTCCTGATAACTGTATTCATTTGATCTCTTCGCCACATCCTCATCATTGACACATTATTGACACATTATTGTAATATGTTAAATGTTAATTTTGGTCCCTCAACTTTAAGATTTTGCATAATTTTCATTCTTTAACTTTTTTTTATTGTATTTTTTTATCCATGAACTATGAAAAAAATACTTTTTTTGTTTTTTATCAGTTAATCCATTAAATTTATCTAAATTTGCGCATTTTTTGTCTCTCAACTTTAAGTTGAGGGTAAAAAATATGCATATATTAGAAGTTAAGGGATTAAAATGTGCAAATTCAGATAGATTTAACAGATTAATTGCGGAAATGACTAAAAAGTGCATTTTTCATAGTTAAGGGACTAAAAAAGTGCAAAAAAAAGTTGAGGGATGAAAATTATGCAAAACTTTAAGTTGAGGGACCAAAATTGACATTTAACCATTGTAATATTATTCTCTGTACTACGTGAGTACACTGTGGTCAGAGAAAATCTCAAATATCAGGAAAAACCAAATGGGGATTAATTACTGTTTTGGCTTTGGTGCATAGCCATTGATGGAGAGGGATCACTGTAATATTAGATGATACACTTCTCATCAATGGTTATGCACGAAACTGCACATCACTTTTTAATTGCCAGAAATCTTACGAAAACTGTCTTTTTTGCAAATTATGTACATTCTGGGACGACAGAGACGGTGGTGCATTATAATTCGTCCTAAAACAGGCAGCATTGAGTATTCCTGGACGTAAGTTTTGAAGGAAATTTCGGGGAAGTTTCAGCTTTCCAATTACATATGCAGGCGTGGGATTGCTTCTCAAGAATTGTTTTGAAATGGAGATTGAATCCCAAATTTGGGCAGTGGAAATATTGCTTTCTGCAGTTGGCATCCATTGATGGAGACAAATTAACTAGGAAGAAATAAGAAAAACTATATTACTGCTTCTGCCTTGCTAAGGTTCAAAACACTTTGATGTTTATCTATATTATAGTCATAAATGTTTGGACTGACTAAACACATGGTTTTTTTGGTTTTTTGGCCTCAAGACTAAACATAT